AGATCCGCCAGTTTTCGCTTTTTGTCGGTGGTCAGATGAGCTTTTGGTTTAACGCTTGAACGGATTGTATTGATTGTCTGCCTGGGCGGCGGGTCATGCATTGGAAACTGAAAATACTTCTTGAAATCTCGGATTCATTTCGTATTCAAAAACATAAAAAGTTTGTCCAATCCTTTGAATTAAAATCGTGATCTACTTCTCTCCTGCTCACGTTATTTGCGTTTTGACTCTACACACGCTAAATTATAGCAACATTGTTGGAACAGGTGGGCCATAAATTTCTGCAGGTCTGCCTAGAGGAGAAATAGTAAAAAATAATCAACAATTTCCGTTTTACGTAGTCAATTCACAACCTTTTGTGTTTAACATATGAAAAGGTGCCGCTTCTCTTCTGGTACGGATTGCGAATTCAATGATTTATGGTTTTCCTAACGATCAGTGGAATCACCACGACTTTAATGGTGGTTTCTGCGTTTGATGGGCTTGTTTTACATTCCAACTGTAACAGGCTGCTTCCCTACCTTCAATTTTGAAATAAAAAATTAAAGTCCTGTTATTCTGGAGAATTAACGTCCAACTGGCACTTGCGTGTCGCGGACGAGGGGTCAAACCACTTTACAATATTTCTTTCATGCTATTCTCAATTAAAAATGCATGGAATGTGTCGGGATTCGAACCTAGGAGAGCTAACGTGGCAACTGCAGGACGGCCTAACCACCGGCCACCACGGTCCCCTTATTTTTTTCAATGATTTAAAATCCTCGCGCCTAATTGGCAGATTACGAATTTGCCTTTTATACCAACAAACCCTTAAGGTAAAATACCTATATCACATCAAGAAGAACAAAGAAAGTACAAAAAAGTTATGGTGTTTTTTCTTCCGAGATACTTCATTTGTTAAAGACACCTAGGGGGCTGTCAAGTTTGTACAAAGTTCGAGAAAGCACTTTATAAAAAAGAAAAAAAGCAGAACGCCACGTTCCTAAAAATAAATAAGTAATTATCTATCTATCGTTTTGAATTTTATTGATAAAAAACTGTAAATAATCGATTATTTCTAATCCTAAGGGATATTTTGTAGAAAGGATTTTCCAGTATCTTTAATGATCAAATAAAGTGATTTTTCTTAACTGAGGAAGTATTACTGTCATACATAGTTTTCGATATTTCCAATGGATTTTTATTGATTATTAAACACTAGATTTCAATTTAACAACAATAACTAAATAATAAATATTTTCTAGTGTTACCTGCAACCTTTAAATAAAAAATAAAACGTCAAATCCCTTTCAGCAGAGATTCTTGATCTATTCCTGATGATTTGAATGTAGCCGAATTCTCTCACGCCTGATAGAACAAAGTCAGCGAGTTCGGGGAAACGTCGCAGTTACGTGTCGATGATGACAGAGATGTTGACTTTGAACTTTGCCCTTTGCAAGTATAAAGGAAGATCCACTGCTTTGATGAATCGTAATAAAGCAGTGCTGTTCCAGACATCTGCCATTTCGTTTGCGTTTGGCTGGCATGAGTATAATTCTCAGAAATGGTCGCTTCTTGCCTCAACCTGCTTATGTCCGTAAAGAATGCCTAAAGACGTTATTTATCATTTAATCAATGAATTATGACTTGATTGTAAAACATATAATATTTACATATAACCATAATAACAGTAGCATGAAAGCTTGAACAGCTACAATCCAGTGATGTTAGCCGTTAGTACATCGATACGATGAGCGAGTTGGACTCCGTCCTAGGAGACCGATGTCAAGTGATAAGGTTGTCGCGGGGCCAACGACGATTTAGTCTTCTGTTGGGATTATTAGGTAGGTGGATGATAGGTTATGACGAAAGGGTTCGGGCGATGGGGCTAGCTCGGTAACGAGAGGGACATTTAGGTCGGTATGGATGGTGTGATTGGATGCTTAATAAGGGGCGTTGACTATTGTTTTGAGGATTTTGGATTGAAGGGATTGGATTCAACATAAGCTGTAACATTTAGCAATCCCGTAAATTTCAAGTCCGTATGTCCAAATGGGGCCAGGAGGGGAATGTAAAGTTTTCGTTTGTTTGTTAGTGAGAGTTTTGATCGTCTGTCGAGCAGTCGTTTAAGCATGAAAAATCGTATGTTACAGTCTTTACGCTTAAGCGTGTGTGGGGGTTCCACATCAGTCGTCGTTCATCCTGGTAGAGTCCGAGGTATCGGACATGGTTCGCAATTAGGATGGGAACGTTGTTGAGGTATACTGCTGGGAGCGTTTTCTTGTTTTGGGTAAATATTATGTTTGTTGATTTGGTTCCGTTGATCTTGATTCTACTCTGACGGAGCCAGCATTCTAGGATGTGACGGTCAGAAAAGGTGGAAAACAAATTTAACCAGCTATCATACAAACATGGCCGGTCATTTGACCACCTTTTTTCCCGAAGGCAATTCATCAATGTCTTGCATAGATCGTAACCGGTGGTTTGGACGTAGAGGAAGAATTCTATTGCCTCCTCAATCGCCAATCGTCAAGGCTCGTTTATTCCCCTGGGAGGTATTGGAGAGAAACACATGAGAGAAATACAAATGTTGAAAGAAATTTCGCAATAGCTAGGATAACCTCAACATCCAAAATACATTTTTATTACAGTTTTATTGATGCTCTTTAGTTTTGGAAAAACGTTTCATATATTTGCTAAAATAAAGATAAGTTTTGACTTATTTTTACGTGATAATGATCGAACAATTTTTGATCGATTTGTCGAGAACGGATTACAATTCGGGTCATTAGGCTTTCTCTCATAGCTACCGTAAGTGTCTGATGATGCCATTATTCGCAGGCATCATCCGCCCCAAGCAAGATTCGCTGATAAATTGCTGGCTTAGGAAATGCATTCCACAACAGGACTTAGCCGAATAAAGCCCTCCCGGCTCGCGGCATCAAGAGCGATTGTAACGGAGCGACATTAAAGAGGGACGGGTGTATTGAGTCATTCCGAAAACGGACCGCAAAACAGCGTGAAATTGCCATTGAGTCATAGTGATCATGATCAGAGAGCGGTTTGAGGGCTTTGCTTAATGGAAAACATCCTGGGACGGATTATAAGTATATTTCATTATTTTTTCTCTCTCTCATCCTTTAGGAACGTTGTTTATTATTATCTGAGATCGTGCCAGCTCCTTGTAGATGTGCATAGAATAAATAGTGGGGTGGAAACTTGACTCCTGTAAAGAATTGAAAGGTGTATTAAAGCAAGAATTGTCCTTCAAACTACATTTGAATCATTGTTCTTAATAAATGTTTGAAAAATATAATTAATAGTCGGAGTGAGTTCAACTGTCGAGACCACACAAGTCAATTATACTTCTAGAATAACATCATATTTATTTTGGTGGTGTGGTCCGCTTGTCCGAATAAATTCTTTTCAATTAAGTAAGGTTTTGGTTGAGATAAAAAAGTCAGTGTCACAGGCGGGATTCGAACCCACGACCTTCGGCTAAATACGCCGCTACTCTCAGCAATTAGCCGAAGGTCATGGGTTCGAATCCGCTTGTGACGCTGATTTTTTTATCTCAACCAAAACCTTAATTAGCTGAAAATTATATTTATTTGCTCGTTTCAAATAAAACAAGAAAAAAGTCAATTCTACATAATAGAATTTTACATAGGAGGCTTATGTTTGTACTTTTAATACAATCATAAATTTGTATTCTGTCTGTCTTTCGTCTTTCTTTCTTCTAAATGAACGAAATTATGCGCTCACGCACATAATCAACACCCATCCATACTTACTCACTTTTAAATAGCTCCTAAAGTCAAATATAGTGATATCCCATAAATACTTAAAGATTTTCACACCTTTTTATATTTTTGAACAATTCAACCTTTATTCTTTGCAAATGTCTACTACGAAGGGAACAGAAGCTTAAAGTCATCGACTTAACTCTTAACTTTTATGGCTTGCTAAAAGACATGACAATTTGAACGGGAATAAACCGCGGCTATAAAAATGTTTTCTCTTGTTAAAAGTTAGACGGACACTTTTCCGTTATTGAATGGGCTGTCTTAAATTCGGATGTAGCTGGCTAATCTCTCTCTCCTCTCTCTCTCTCTCTCTCTCTCTCTCTCTCTCTCTCTCTNGAGAGAGAGAGAGAGAGAGAGAGAGAGAGAGTGAGAGAGAGATAGAGCGGAGAGAGAGAGAAAGAATTGGACATTTTATTAATAAAAACTCGCGAAAATAGGAGAGAGAGAGAGAGAATGGGGTGAGCAAAAGAGAGCGAGAGAGAGTGAGTGAGTGATGAGTGCGGAGGGGCAGAGGCGCGCACAGCAGTATAGGAAAAAGCGAGCCATTTTTTTGAGAGAAATGTTTAATCAGGAAATTACGTAATAATGACCGATTTTGTTTGTTGGTGTTAAATATAAATAATAAATAATATGGAGAGAAACTTTGATTTTACGTCAACTATTGCATAAATTATGTTATGCAAATCAGGAAATTTTGAATTGTCGGCTCGTTTGTACGTATTTACTTCCAGCAGGGTATTCGACTATTTTATTCTAATTGTGAAATCTGTGATGAAATCATGAAATTATGCATATGATCAGATAGTTAATCGATTATGCTCAAAGTTCAAATGATTTTAAGTATTGCATTTTTTCAGTAATGTAATGTGTTTGAGTATCATTAGTAGCAATAAAATGAAAAGGGATGAAATTTAGGCATTGTTTTAAAGCTAAGCACAATCAAGTCTCGGAATGCTGGCATTAATTTTATGCTTCTGGATCAAAGTTCAGTGAATTCAGTTCAAAATGCTCTCGTGAACCGGGCAGTTCATTTCATTCCGTTTAACGTAAATTCCCTACTACGTGTATATGACATTTTTAGTACCTTTAAAAAATAGAAATCGACCTTATTAATTATATGGAATGTTTTGAATTCAACCAAATACTTATGTGTGTTGGCTTATGTGTTGTTTTCTGTTTTTTCAGCTTGTAAATTTGTTTTGTTTTTGTTTACAGTGAGGTATGGAGACTGGCGAGGAGAGCCCGGTCCCGGGCTACCTTCTCCTCAGGGTCCACGTCCCAGAACTGAACGTTCACAAGTGCCTACAATTCCCTTCGCACCAGTTGGTCTGGGAGGTGAAACAGCAGTGCCTCGCCGCTTTGCCCAAGGTAAGGACAAACATGCTAAGTCCGTCCTCACGCCACAATCTAGTAGAACTTTGTACAAAAGCGCACTTAATCATTCTTTCAACAACTTCCTTTATGCGGTAAATGTTAATAATTTAATTATCCAATAAGGACCGCGCCCCGTCCGTCTAAATCCATACCGTTTCCGCGGCATAAATTGCCCTCCTAAATCTTCAAATTGTTCCGCAAAAACCCTGAGCCAACTTTACCCATTTCCTGTTCCCACTAACTTTTCTCGTTAATATATTTTTTTCTGGGTCCAAAATCCCTTATCATCTTTCAGCCTTCCTTTCGACTTGAGCTAACGAACGGCGTCGGTGGTTAAAAGCGGTAATTAATTCGACAGTCAGTAATAACGGAATTTGTATAGAAAATCGCATTATACAAGTCATATGTTTCAAATCAAATTTTGATATATTTTCAATAATTATAAATTCAGTAAGTCCTCAAGTTATCCTTGCCTACTCTCGTTTCGTGGTGATTAGTGACCGTTAGTCTATGATTATTCGGAAATCGTGAGATGCGGGCTGGTGTGACGTAGGTTTTAGAAAAACATTTTCTTTATCGTGCCACGTTTCGATTTTTATTGAGATCATCTTCAGGGCTCAAAGTGTTTGTTTTCTGCGTAATTGTGCCATTCTTGCGTGTCGTGTCGAGAGTGCCAGTGAGATTTTGCTATTTTGTGTTTATAATATTATATATACCGACATCCTTCCCCACCCCTTCAAAATCCCACGTATATAAACACAAATAGCAGCATAAACACTGTCTACATGGAAAAACAAACACTTTGAGCCCTGAAGATGATCTCAATAAAGATCGAAACGTTGGCACGATAAAGAAAATGTTTTTCTGAAACCTACGTCACACCAGACCGCATCTCACGATTTCCGAATAATTATTTTGTGAATCGTGTCCTTTTTTGCCGACCCTTCCCTTCATTTACCACCGACAGATTTTAAAACTTCCTGTATTTTTACACGCTATGTTAAGTGGGATTGGAAATACAGTTTTTTTATTTAGTTTCTTTATAAAGTACAGTTGTAGGTTTGTTGTACTCCTAGACTCTTGAATTAATGTTGGCTAAACTTTAATGATGTTTCTATACTGCATCTCCCGTAACAAAATTTCACAAGCAGTCGTTGTTTTAACAACCCCATTTTCAGTGAGCTTTGCTCTTGTTTCGTCAAACAATAAGTTTATAGTCCGTGAATTTGCAATTTCAAAGCAAATATGCTTGGTTTTGGTTTTATTGATTGTTGTTGTATTCCATCAGACCTAAACAAGAAATCTCACAAATGTTTATAGTTTTTTCTATGAAATTAACCTGTTTTAATTTCAAATTAGCCCTTTTTTATTGGAAATTAATTATCTTTAATTTCAAATTAACCCTATCTTAAAAAAAAATTCTCTAAATAAAAATCAATTTGACTCTTATAAGACCATATAAAAGTTAATTACAATTAAAATTAAAAATTATATATAATTAAATATAAAAATAAAGGATTTTTCTTATGAATTAGAGAATTGTTTAGAATACAAAATAAATTTTAAAGACCACATGAACAATAATTACGATTAAATTTAAAAGTTGTGCGCAGTTTAATATAAAAACAAATAATTCTTCTTCTATATAAGGTTAAACATTTCTTTCCACCGTGAAGTACCATTTTGTTAATTGGAACATTAATTGGAACCATTAATTAGTTCTTATAATAACTAATAATAAATTAGTTCTTGGTTGAAATAGTCGGGAGAAGAGTTCGAGAAAAAAATTCGATAAACAATATTCGCAGATATGTTTTTTGTAATAACTTGTAAACATTTGCTTCAAATTAAGAAACGTTTGCCCAGTTTAAATCAACGCTAAAATAAACGTTTTAAAGAGGAGATAAAATATTAGTATTTTGCCATTTGAAACAGTAAAGCCCCTGCTCGTATCCCACTATCCTGGAGACTTAGACCAGAACTTTTTTGGCTCATGAGAAACTAGAGAAAAAATAAATATTCGTGCCTCGGGGTTTTTCACAAAACAGACCCAATAAAATAATGTAGGGGAGCAGAAGTTAAAATCACCCTATATCCAGCCTTTGTTACGAAGTTTTTGAACCACTGTAGATAAACGGAATCCTTTATTTTTATATTTAATTATATATAATTTTTAGTTTTAATTGTAATTAATTTGTATATGGCCTTATAAAAGCCTAATTGTTTTATATTTAAATTAACTTATATTTCTTTACTTTTTGCTTTCATACCATCTCGTACTCTCTTTATGTTGTTCTTTCAGCAAGGGTTAATTTGATACCAAAAAACGTAAATTTCAAGTTAAAAACGATTAATTTGGAGGTAAAACGATTTATAAAACCCACTATATTTCGTGGTACGATTGACCAAATAACTTCTTTCAATTAATTACTCCTTATATAAGGTATTGGTTGAAATGAAAAAGTTAGTGCCACGAGCGGGATTCGAACCTACGATCTTCGGCTAAATACGCCGCTGTTTTATAAAACACTGTCTTAAGTAGACTTTGAAATTTGGTCTTTCATACAGTGTCCCGAAGAATTAAATTTTAGATTTCACTCGTTCATTCAAGAATTTCAATTAAAATCAAGTTTGTCTGGTTTTAATTGTATTTTTTGTGTGCTTTTTTTCCGTCAGGCGTTAACAAGAACACTCATTTTGTTTTTCTAAACACTACCATATGTGTGATTTGAATTGTGACAGTTTAGATTGTTTCTTTTTAGAAATGAATTTGTAGTTTTATCTCGTAAATTTCTGGCTTTTCAATAAACAAATATATAAATAAAAATAAGTTTTTTAATTGCTAGTATATAGTTTATATGTGTTTGTGTTGGGTCTGTCTTAATTTATTGGAGTTTCTGAATTAATAACAAGGATTTATTCCCCGAGGGATTTAGAGTACTCTGGGTGAATGAATGCGACTAGACTTATAGTATGGGGCATTGGGTTTAAGTTAATTTATTGGTATGAATGTAATTTATTAGCGCGAAAGGAGGCGTTTCTTAACCTGCCCTAGGAATAACGAGTACTCTGTGGTGAGTGTGTGACGTCTGGAGAGTAAAAGTAATTTATTAGCGAGAATGGAGTTGCTTGAACCCCGTCCCGGGGCTATCGACTACTCTGGAGAAGTGAGTGTGACCAGCGCCTATTACCTTTGTCGTGATGTGTATTTAAGTATTCTACGCTCTATAACTATTCTGCAGTTGACTACATGAGGTTCAAATCTATCAGGCTATAATTTTGACTGCTCAAATGACTGCAAAATGAAAAATACGCGTGAACGACCAGAAAGAGAAGTAAAAACTTGCAGGCGATGACCTAGGCAATTTTTTGGCCCAAATTTCCCAAATTATTATTATAAATAATAAATTCTGGTAATAATCGAAATACTATCTTTATGAGTTATATCAATATTTAAGAATATTTAATTACTTTGACAACAATATGGATCAAGGCGTAACATTGATTAACATTAGAATGTTTCCATTATATTTAGTGGTGTGTTGACAAAATTACTTCTTTCAATTAATTAATCTTTTTATGTAAGGTTTTGGTTGAAAGGAAAAAGTCAGTACCACGAGCGGAAATGAAAAATGTATGAAAAATGGCAAAAGGAGGGAAAATTCGAAAGGTTGTAGGTTGAGATGGGGAGTTGGTGTCCGAATGGATCGAAGTCACGATAGCTCAAGTGGTAGAGCAGAGGCGTATTGAGCCAAAGGTCGTGGGTTCGAATCCTGCTCCTGCCATTGACTTTTTCATTTCAACCAAAACCTTACATAAAAAGATTAATTAATGGAATGAAGAAATTTGGTCAATAGACCACCATATTTAATGGATTTAATAAGTAAAACGAATTATAACTTCACTAACAGCTCCCCGTGACACTTCACATGTCGCCGAGAATCGAATCCTGATTACACGGCATTCGAAAAATGGCAAAAATGAGGGAAAATTCGAAAGGTTGTAGGTTGAGATGGGGAATTGGTGTCCAAGAGGATCGAAGAAGTCACGACAGCTCAAGTGGTGGAGCAGCGGCGTATTTAGCCGAAGGTCGTGGGTTCGAATCCCGCTCGTGACACTGACTTTTTTATCTCAAACAAGACCTTACATAAAGTGATTAATTAATCGAAATTAGATTTTTTTAAACTCAGAAATTTAAATCTCGTTCGAAACTAGAAGTTCGATCGCATTTGTTATTTTACCTCCTTTGCTCTAATGGTTCCTTTCTTATTTATAAACGGCAGAATGACGTGAGCTGGTATCATTTCCTTTCTGCAGTTTCACACCCGATAAATAATCATTTGTGTCGATTAATAAATATCTAGTGACCCATTTCTCCTAGTTTTTGCTACCAGTGTAATCAAACAGGTTCAGCAGATAGGTTATTAAAGTTTTTCCTGTTGTTTTCCCAATTCAAAATTTGTGCTTTGATAAAATTTTTAAACGTACTTTTCTCACTCTGTTTTGTACCTCCAGAGCCTTCGTAGGGCAGCGTTGTGATTTTAAATTTACAAGGGCCTGTTGGCCCACGGCTGCAATCTATTTTAGTGATGTTTACCTAGAACATCCTCAACCACTCGATCTCCTCAGAAGTCGGCTTACCAGAGGCCGTTTAACAAACCCCCTCCGGTTCTGTGAGAAATTACCAAGCTGTCGGAGGATGTCTTAATTCTTCTGACGTTAACAAGGCTCCGTAAACACAATTAGAACAAACTGCATGTTTAAATCTCGTGGGGCTCATTTGTCCGACCTTTCCCAAGGGCTAGCTTTACAAGCCTTCGATCTGGAAAAAAAAGTTAAAAATGGAATCGTTGAAATCCCTGTCAAATCTGTACTTTATTTCATTTATTCTTATCTTTTTTCCATTTAGAAAGTTTCTACCCTTTCAAATCACCGGTGGTGGTTCAGGACGAAAGCGGTAGATTGTCAAAAACGGAAATCCGTTCAGCCCGTCT